ACGTTGGTGGCCGCCGCTTGACACAGCCTGGGAGAGGAAGGGGTTGTGGGGGGTTGGTTGAGAGGTCAAAAAAAAAAAGGGCTACTCTCGCCGCGCAACGCAATGTGACGGAGGGCGCATGCGCCGCCCCTCGCTGACCAATGGCAGGCCGACGAAGACATTCCCTCCGACCAATAGAAAGCCTCGGATGGGGGGGGGCTAGCAGTCGGTGGTGTGTCATAGTGTGTGAGGGTTGCGTAGGAGGTAAGCGGCTCTGTGATAGGCGCAGCTGGGGCAGTCAAGGTTGGCTGAGTTTTCTCCTCCCGTCCGCCTCCTTCCTCGCGGCCTCCTTCCTCGCGCAGGCTGGTGGGGTCATGAGGCGCCTGGTTGCGACGTCGTTCCAGTGCGGGGGTGGGGTGGCGCGGGGCTGTCCTCGCCCGCTCCTGGGTCCGGCCCGGGGGACCCGGGTGACCTGGGGCCTGGCGGGGGATGCGCCCCGCCCTTAACTTTCTGAAGCGTTAAACTGGCAGCCCACCGCTGGAGTGGGCGGGGCTCCCGAGCCTGATTTGCATGTTCCGTTGCGTGAAGGAATGCAGGGCGCAGAACTCCGCTGTTGAGCAGCTCGAGGTGCGCAGTATAGTTAGGGTGGCCATCATAGATGGACGACAGTCTGGTTGTACTCTGTTCTCTGATACGAAACCGGATGCCTTTGTCCTCTCGTTCTCTCTTCAAGAGAAAACGAAAGAATGTAAAGACATTAGGTTTTGTATCAATTAGAAGACAGAGTAGTAGAAAACCGGAATGTCCTCTGTGATGGCCACCCTAAGAGCATTTTATAGACAAAATTTTGGTCCCATGATACACCAGAGATCTGCCGCTTTGGAGCGGACTCAATTGAGTCCGCACATGAGCTGACGCGCACCGTGCTGCATTGCACACAGTTGTGTAAGTGGTGAAATGCACAGAAAGTGGTGGGGGGTGCGCTTTTGGATGAAAGCACCTTTTATGTGTGTTTGTTCAAAAGTGCCACCGCCATTTTCTCAGTGCCGACGCGCGTTTCGCTGCTTATACAACTGCAGGCATCGCATCACCAAAGGCGCTCTTCAAAGCACCTGGAGCTGCGACGCTTGCATGTGCATAACTGCCCTGACAGACAGAAAGGAGGATCTTGACTGTACACGAGCCTAGGGAGGGCAAAGTGAGGTGTTGCATGATAGACCCTGCTAAGAGTGCTTAAAACAGAAGTGTCCGCTCATTCACTTGTGCCAAGTGCCTGAGTATCGCAGTCTTCTGCCCCTTCAGGCCAGGGCTAACTAAGAGGCATGCTACACAGCTCCTGTTAGGGCAACTGCAGCCTGCTCTGTGGAGACGAAAAATGAGCCATTTGTAGTCCTCCAGCATCCCAGGATGCACTACTTTGAGCCCCAACTCCCTCAAGCAGGACTAGAACCCAGGGGCACCTATACACGTGCAGTGAGGCTGTTCCCACATGCTCTAATCACAGTGTGTTGGCGCAGACTTCATTAATTGTGGCAATTACCGTGCTCCAGCTGACGCCAAAGTTGCATGTATCAGCATCCACATGCTAGAAAATGACTGCAGGGGTGCTTTAACTAAAGCTGATTTGACAAGCTTTAGTTAAAGTGTCCTTGCCACCCCCCCGCCACTCCTGAAGCGCATGTATAAATGCCTCGGGTGCCCTGGCTCCTAGGCACATCCCTGCTTGCCAGCCTGCTAACGGCAAGTCCACACTGTGCAGGCGAGAAATGTTTTAACCCTTGATACAGGACTGCTTATAACAGGTTGTCACTTTAACACCACTTCATGTTCCACAGATTTAGTGTGGTGTAAGTGTAACATGTAGCTTCATCCTGCAGTCATTTAGTCCCGGTCTGTTGTCCCAGTGTAAATCCTGTTAAGGTATACAGGATAAGTACTAATAGTTTACCCTGGGATGTTATCAAGTACATATGAATAATAATCTTGGGATTGTATCATTGATTCAATGGCAGAAAAGGAGCAGTGCATTCAGTCAGCCATTCACTTAAGCCTGATTAGTAGGGCCATGTGTGTATATACCAAGGCCACGATATTTTGGGGACAAACAGGGGCACAACATGTTCAAGGACACAAAGACAACCTGTGTTCCTAGCTTAAATGTGAAATGCTACATAGTCTAGTGAAGAAGAGTGTGTATTAAGGGAACAGCCCTGGAATTCAAACAAGGAGCCCCTGTTATAAGTAGCTTAATAAAGTCCAGATGGATTGTGGCACGATGCTGTTTAAGATTACCATTTATATAACATCATATGTAGTCACTGAGGTACCAAATCTATCCATATGGAGCTTGGGGAAGAGATGGGGCCTAAAATATTGGATTGGAGCTCCTGCTGTTACTGGACCATTTTAGGATTTGGATCTTTGATTTCAGTGGCGTGTGTTATTTATCATTAATGGTATTTTGTGTAATTTGAGTGTCACTGGTAGGTTTTTTGACCAAAGGTTGTTACTGAGAGGAGGAGATCCTACAGGCATGGTAGTAAATCTGGTAAAGTAAAATTTAAAAGCCAAATATTTTTTTTTTACTAGATTGTGAATCTTGTGCACATTGGAAACCAGTTACAGTGGATGTGAGCATATGTGAACTCTTCTTACTTTACTGTGATGGTTGAAGTCTGGTATGCATCAAGAGGTAAGATACCACAGTTGTTCAGTCTTGTTTCTAGCCCTGGGTAGCTCAATGGATTGTAGTGCTATAAAAAGATTTTTCAGCCTGAATGGTGAACTTAATCAATAAGGCTGTTGAACTGCTGTAAGTGTCTTAAAATCAGTTATACCCACTGATCCCTTCCTTTCCTTCTCTAGCATAAAATCCAAAGGCACATTAATGTCTAGATATTACAAAAGAATATCTCCCTTCAGCAAGTCAGTGCAAGGATACAGAAGATGTTAGGGAACACTGGCTGCAGCAAAGTGTGAGTTATTTTAAACAGTGAGGAATCCCTGTTGTCAAAAACCAGGAAAAACATTGGTTCAAAATAAAAAAAAAAAATTCTTGGATATTTAAGACTACAGTGGTCTTGTGCAAAAACATTTGGTACATAAGGACTGCTCATAAGAAAATGATTGTGAGTAAATGCAAGGACACTGGTGCTAAATGAAGTGGCAAATCAAGAGCTGGAGTGGAGGTGGGGGCAAGGCCACTGGAGCTGTGTTGAGGAGGGTGGAACGGAGCTGGACCCCAAGCAGCAGGAGGGAAGAGGGGAGCAGGCCCAGATGGGAGGAGAGGAGGTGCACAGGACTCCATCCCCCCCCGCCCCTGCCCCGTCATTTCTTGATGGGCAGTTGGTTAGTGTGTGTGTGTGTGTGTGTGTGTGTGTGTGTGTGTGTGCGCACACACACACACACACACACACACGTATATATAAAATATGTGTGTGTTCAGTGTGAGTAAGAGGATGAGAGGTGACTTGATAGCCACCTACAAGTATGTCAGAGGGGAGCACCAAGATCTGGGGGAGCAACTGTTCAGAAAGGCACCCCTTGGGAGGATGAAGACCTATGGACACAAAATAACAGAGGAAAGATTTAGACTGGACATAAGGAAGAAATTCTCTGTAAGGATAACCAGAACATGAAACACACTCCCAGCAGAGGTCGATGTATTTGTATATGGATATGTAAATGGGTGTATATAACCTTGGCTAAGTCATAGATTTCATAGACATTAGGGCTGGAAGGGACCTCGGAAGATCATCAAGTCCAGCCCTCTGCCCAAAGGGCAGGAAGTCAGCTGGGGTCATAGGATCCCAGCAAGATAAGCATCCATTTAGCTTCTACAAGTTTCCCCTTCTGCAGTGTAGCAGTGATACTTATCTTGAGTTTGTTCAAGCACTTCAAGAACTTGGGATAGAATATACTAAGTACAAAGAGGTAATAATAGTATTTAAGTGCACACAAGGCAAGAGACTATTCAGTGTTATCCTCCAAAGTTTCAGAATCTATGTATTTTGCCAAGTGAAAACATCAATCAAGAAAATAGAAAAACAAAATTAAAATATAGAAATATGTGTGTGTGTGTGTGTGTGTGTGTACGTACTTGGTACATTGTACACCTAACAGTGCTAATATTGTGTGACCTTTTATTATTGATATGTATATACTGCATTATATTATTAGAATTCACAGCCTGCATGTTTATTTGTTGAGCTTCATTCTGCACAGAACAAGTGCTTATGGTTGTAAATATTAAAAGTGATAATAAATGCAGGGAAACCTGATTCACTTTTAATGTGAATACTGCTGTACCAAATTAAGACCAGCCAAGGGAATAAGTACCTATAGATCAGGGATGGGCAATTTGGGCCCAGGGGCCACATAGGAAGTTTTGATGAGCTGTTGCGGGCCAAGTCAGCACCCCTGCCCCTCCTGCGCAACAGCTCGGCAAGACTTCCTATGTGGGATGGGGCCATAGGCAGGGAGCAGTGTTCAGGAGCAGGACAAGTGATCCACTCCCTCCATGCCCCTGCCCTCTGGAGGGGGTGGGGGTATATTTAGGGTTGGGGGGAAGAGCTACTTGAGTGCTAGGTCCCAGGAGCCGTCCAGTAGTGAGGGGGAAGGGTGCAGCAGAGCTCGGCCAGGTGGTGCAGTCCATGGCACTCTGCATGGGGTCAAGCCCTGCTGGCTCCTGCCCAGGGCAGCCCATGCTGCACTCCCACCTACCAGCCCCACCCTAGCCAGCATGCACAGCTTACTGGCTAGGCTTTTCCCAGTGTGGCAGCTCCCTTCACCCCGATGGCATCTCCTTCTCCTGGCCTTGCTGTGCTGCTCCAGGTGGGGAGGAAGCTTTAGGTGGGCGGCTCTTGCTAAAGCAGTGCAGCAGGAGGAAGAGCCAGCTCTGGAGGCAAGGGTTGCTGACCAGCACCCATGGAGCTGTAGCCACACCAGGAGAAGCCGCATTGGAATCTTTATGTGCTGGTTGGGGCTGTGGCCAGTAGGCATGGGCAGGAGCGCAGTGCTGGCTGCCCTGGTGTGGGCTTAGCCCCATGTGAAGCACTGCAGGGGCAGCTGCAGGCCAGATCCAGTCAACTGGCAGGCAGACCCCATGGGCCAGATACAACCAGCTGCTAGGGTGGATCTAGCCCACAGGCCATCTTTTGCCCACCCCTGCCAAAGATTGTTAGATCTTAAATGTGTTGCTCCTTGAGGTGAATCCATGTCCCCCCCTCAGTCTTCTCACCAAGTTCATTTCCAGAGAAGGGTGAGGGCATTGACATTTTGCTTACTGTGAAAGAATACAGGTGGTCCTCAGACTTAGGACACTGATCTTAAGTCAAAACGTTGTAACTCGGAACCAATTTTCTCATAAGAAACAATGTTATAAATGAGAGAGTGGCTCCTGAACCAAGGCCTGATACCCTATTTTCACCAAAAATACCCCAGAATTTTGTACTCGATCAATTATAGATGAGTAATATAGCTACATTAATGTGTTTATATCATAAATAGCAATCATATTGATTTGGAAGGACTTCTTTGAGGTGACTTTGCTGGACTTTTTGAAGGGCTCTTGTTTGGATTTTTTGAAGGGTTCTTGGCTGGAGTCTTCTCAGGAGTCTTGGCTGAAAGTTTTTCTGGAGTCTTGTTTGCTTTCTTAAAGAAAGTGTCCAAGAAAGGTTGGACAGATATTCTCCAGGGAGATGAGTGACACGGCGAACTTGTTCTCTGGCATGGTATTGCATCGTTGTAAGTTGAGACTGATGTCATAAAGTTGAAACAGGGTGTCAATTTAGAAACATTGTAAGTGCAAAACATTGTAACGCGAAACGTTGTAAGTCGAGGACTGCCTGTACTTACCTTCCCTGTGCTGATGTTTTGCCTCCACTTGCATTCAGGCTACAGGCAGCCAAGTAATAGTACACCATGCAATTAATTTCCATATAACATGTTTTCCTTTTAACTTTTTTATAATGGCTGAACTAGTAATTTCTTCTGTGTTGCTACTAAATAATGTGCAGCATGTAATCCTGAGATACATAATTTACATTTCAGGAATTGACATAACTTCTTTGAGGTGATTGTTGTGTTGTTGTTAAATCTGAAGTCAGGAGTAATATGAACCTAATGTCCTTCTGCTGCTTTTAGCTCCTGCGTCGGTTATCCCTTGCAAATACAATATCATAAAGTAGTGGAATGGCCAGCTCTTGATTAGAGACTTAATACTTGTTATGAGCATGGTACTCAGAGCTGCTTCAGCTGTTAAATCTGGAACAGACTCAGTGGCAACCAGAAAATATAGCAGCAGCATTTTACAGAGGCATAAATAAAGGCATAAAATGTTGAAGCCTACATTGCTGGTTTAGAGCAGGTTATACTTTAATGTCATGGATAGGGCTAAATGTATCAACTGATATTTTACAAGCGCTTTGGTTTATGCAGCTATGTATGAGTTTTCTTTCCATATGTAATTTGTTGTTTTCCCCCAAAAGCCTACTGTGAAGCAATGCAGATACTTCAGAATATTTTGTGGTAGCATGAAATGGATCAGACTGATGTATAAAGCATTGACAGGCTTAATGATTCTACAGATGCACACCCTAAAGGATTTTCTGTGCAAAAAATTCAAGTGTATTAATTGCATGTGTAGACGCACCCAGTACATATACAGAAAGATTCATTGTAGAGCTCACAGCCCAAGGTCTAGTCAGGATTATCTTGCTAAATGCACCACCGACCAACCTTGGTTAAAACCATTTACATTTTTGTGCCACTGTCAATCAGAAGATCTCAAATGTTTTACAAACATTAACGCATTAAGTCCCCTCAGTTGTAGTGAAGCATTATAATACTCACTTTACAGATGGAGAAATTGAAACAAAGAGAAGCTAAGGGACTTGCATAGTGTCTCATAGAAAGGTCATGGGCAGATGAAAAATTAGTTTTAAAGTGTCAGGCCACTGTGTCAGCCGATCTAATTTGTCCCTCTGGTGCTGTCCCACAGAAATTGAAACTAATGAAATTGGCGGTAAAATACTGCAGTTTAGCTTCCAGTTTCTTAGCAACTGACAATCCTCTATGTAAAAGAGGTCTATGCGACCATCACACCAGGACCATCAATGCATACATGTAGGCAAGTGTTGAGGAGTGGAGGCTGCCTTAGATCTACCATCCTCCTTTTAGACCATCAAGACAGAGTCCAAAGGCCAAACCCAGTCCAGATGTTCAGTGCCTCAATGGTTGTAGCTTCTGCCAGAGAGCAACAGGTTAGAGCTGTTGCTGACTGCCTAATGCCTCAGCAAGGCTGTGTTTCTGTCATAATGATGTCCCTTAGCCTTTCCAACCAAGGAGTATCCACAAAGCAGTGGGGGCTAGGGTTTTGAGGTCCTTATATTTGCCTTACTCTGGAGGTTGCAACATTGCAGTATTTTATAGGAGCTACCCCACCACGAGTAGCCGCACCACATTGTGACCAAGCCCTCCAGCTGAATGCAGTTTATGGTCATACCTGGACCCTTTGCTTCCATTTACTGTAGGATAAAGCAGACATGTAAAAGTTATAGTAGCTTCAGTTAAGCAATAGTAAATTCTAATTCTCCCCATCAATGTAACTGTTTTGCCTGCCCACTCCCAAAGTCTTTGCAAGAACTGGGAATAGAACTCCTCTCTCCAGACTCCCAATCTTGTGCTTTAATG